CTGGAGGAGAAAATATCGTACAGGAAACGCTTTCTTTCGAATAGCGTATATGTGAGACTTTTTTTAGCGCATTTTTTAAGAATTAAAAAAAATGTGCTATTGTTTGCGTTTTGTCCGTCCGTCCGTCCCGACCCACTTCTACCGTTTTGAACTACTTCTAGGTGAATGGTCATAAAGTCCTGGAATTGTTTGCAGTAGGTAGCCTATACCTTGAAGATGTGCCAGACGGTCATCAAATATCGCTGTCTAAAAGCCCCCCCCCCCCCACGAATTACTTCCGAGATGCTGTTTTTGAAAGTAAAACGTGCATAGCTTTTACATACGACAACCAATTGGTCTCAGATTTTGCATACGCATGCCTTTAGTGGTGTCAAGTTAAACTTTAGAAAATGGGGGGGGGGGAGGTAAACACATGTTCTAATTTTTTAATTCTAATTAAAGGTCTCAACGAAAGGAACCGTTTTCTACCAACTGCTGTCCTTCTTTCTGTCCTCTTATCCTTCATGGTACTCTAATGAAAGGTCTCAACGAAAGGAATTAATTTCTACCAACCATAGCATAGCCTTCCTCCTCGACCTCTTATCGTCATCGGGTATATTCCCTTATACCTCAAGAACGAATTTTCGGAAGAGGGTACTCACAAAGGGCGATTGAGACGTCTGCAAAAAATATATCCATTGGTGACGTCAAAACAAAAGCTATTTCAGTTTAAAAAAATGCGGTTTATCTGCACAAGAGTTGTGCACAATTTATAGATACTTGTTTAATTGTTCTTTTCTGGTTATCTTTGCAGTTGTTCTGGATGATTTAGAAGTTGATCACCTTCTATATCCAACTTGATTTTAATAGCAAATTAACGTTGAAATCTTTTTTTTAAATAATAATCGTACTTTATGCACTACTACACTATTAAACTTAAGGGGCGAGTTTACAAACCGAAGCTCTGATATGTCGACGAATTACAATCCTACTCTTTCAAATAAATTAAAGAACCTTTCCTGGACCTCTAGCCTACATTATTTGAAAACGCCGTCGATGTTCAGAGATTACTGCATGAAGAATACATTACCATAGGCACGATCAGCGTACGTTGGTTCGGAAAGCGTACCACAAGTCCATTTTACACGGATATCTTAATGCTTTTAATTCCGCACTTTACCAATATCGATTCGTTCGTGCAAAATACACTTCAACTTTCATTTTTTATATTGTTGCTGTGGTAACTACAAAATTTAATTGTGTTTTTTCGTCGGAACTCGGTGTATATAATTTTAAATACGAAATAGACGCACTCTGAAAAATTTAGCGTTTAGTTTGATAAATACAGTTCATGGATATCGGTCTTTTTCCTCATCTCCCTAAAAAAACACACCTGTATTACATCCGCTATTAAACCTTGACTCCGCGTAAATTAACACGCCATTTCTTAACGTTTCGCAATTAAATCGCTTATCCGAACTTTACACCTTAACCGAAAACTAATTCTATTGCAAAACCGCGGACGAGATGTACACGCTACACCTCTCTCCAGCTCGTTGTGCACTTCGCTATTTATATAAGACCAAAGCGGAACCAACGAAGTTTTCTCGATCAGCGTCCCTTTTAAACCAATAGTAGATTAGCATCATTTGTTTACACTACAATTTGATCTCGGTCAAAATGGACCCACCGAAATAGGAGAGTTCACTGCTACCTTGGCAACCAATCGAGCGTTAATAACGTGGCTCGTCCTTACTATCCGTACAAAATGGTATAGGTACATGCAATTTTATCCATATATAAAATTTGGCAAAATTGAAATGCAAAGCGGCCTCCCGTTACAAACTTCAGTAGGACTATTGGATCTCGTGTTCTTGAAGTCCCGTTTATTATGGTAATTCCAGGTTGGGTTGGGCATTATTATTGCATTATTTACGGATGAGAAACCAGTAAACTTTTCAGCAAATGAAAAAACTACCTATGAATCAAGTTTTCGATTAAATGTATGCTGTAAATGTGAAAACACGGTTGCAGGGAAGCAACAGATTTACGTATACGCGTACTAACAAACTAAACAGAAAATTCGATATCAATTCAACTGCGGTTACTCGGCAGCGTGTCAGTATCAATTATTCATCTCGACGAACATTTTATCATTGGCATATCGGATTCTTTTCTCAACGATTTGGGAATTGATACGGGTTTGCATGAAACTTCGCATTACTTGGCCGAAGTTCAATGTAAGCTTAGGTCAAATTTCTAACTGCGATCGATTGAAACAACACGCAACGCCCTTCCTGATTTTATTCCGTTCCTTCTTTGCTATTTTAGATTTTGTTTTTCACGTCTTCTTTCTCTGCAAGCGAGTTTAATTTATTTAGCCAATTTTTTAACGCTTGCCGTGGGAAGTCGCTTTAATCACGCTAATGTTTTTCAATTACAAACAAAAATTTTTTAATCGGGATAACAAATCCTTTAGTTGCGAATTTTATATATGTATATACTGCAGTTTGTCATGTTTGAAAATAATATTCATGTTGTACAGAAACAAAATTGCACGCACAATTTTAGAAGTCATGTAAAGGTATTAGTATTTGCACGCACCTAACTAAAAATTTAAAAAATGCCCAACCTAGAACAGCACAATTTTAACGAAGGCAATATAACCCCATGAATCTCGGCAATATTATTTTATCGTTAATGATCTAACGCAACTTAATACTTAATGAATTTAATTTTACGTTACACGTTCACATTTTAACGTTCAATTGATTTGGTGGAGTTCAACAGCATCTAAATTTCATTTGGAGCATACGTTCTTATTTCACTTATCGGGATCTTGTAAGAAAAACTTATTCTGAGTCATGCGAAAACGCTTCAATAATAAATAGTATATTAAGAGACAATGGCACGACGCGTAACGTAGCGTACATGTTTATTCCATGATTGCAATGGACATGTCACTTGACGTTTGCTTATAAAAGCATCGTCTCGGTAAATAAAAAGACTTCGGTTGTAGCAGATAATAAAACCGTCTATTCAATGGCTTGTTGCAAAAGCAGAAGAAAAGTTGGTAGGTGCAAAATCCAAATCCAGTAAAATCTGTAAAGAATATGAAAAGTTGTTTTCGTGGATGAATAGGGAGTAGTTTTAAAACACTTTTGATTTAAAGGCCCTATTTCGCACGCATTTGAGTGTTTAAAACGGAGATTGTGATTCAAGTATAATAAAAAAATAGTACATTGAAATACAAGTGCAGAAACGGTATTATTGAAAAACGAGTATAAATGTAGGAACACGAGCGCCAGCGAGTGTTCCTATTATACGAGTTTTTCAATGACCGTTTCGGCATGCGTGTTTCATACTATTTTTTCTACGAAAGTGAAAAGTTCTTCTCTAGAAATTAGAAATTTAAACTAGTCAGATAACGGCAGAAAATCATGTAGTCTGATCGTAGTTGGATGTTTCAATTGTAAATGATCAAGTAAGCCGGTTGCCATGACAAAACATAATTGTTTGAAAAATCGTAAATTTAAGTCAAACAATTTGTGGCGTAGTGAAGAAGTGTTAAGATTGATTTTGACGAAACTGAAGATGAAGAAGGTATGTGCACCCCGCCGGACGTTGCGGAAATGGCTAATGCGGTTTCGCATGAATTGTTACCCCAAAAGTCTAAGCAGCGTTTCGGAAAGGAGCGTTTTCATAAGAGAACAAATCGCTAAGTTTTTGGGAGAAGCGCCTGATGAAACATTTGGTTACGTTGCGCTAATAAGCCCCCCCAGGTATGATCATGAAATTGATAGAAATGGATAGAGGACACCTTAATTACACGTTATCAGTTAAAAAATTTGCGGAAGAAGCCTTACATTTTTCACAATCTTCATTCAAAGTTCACTTCATTTCGTCGTAAGTGAGGTTATATTACTCCAAATTTCATGATTGTTTTTCAGTTGGTACTGGTGTGCTTAACATTCCTGAGTGCCAACTTTAGTTAGTTTCTTAAGAGGTTATGTTATTTTTCCACGATTTAATTAACTTTAAACAATGGTATACAACTTTATACATGTGTTTTTAATTATACCATAATAACAGTAAGTAGTTCTCTACATCCTACATTGCTAAGCAGCGATTCATGGAAAATGCGAGTGATGTTCCTTCCCCTCTCGACCGTATTAGGCGGTGTATGCTAAGCGGTGATTGATACGAAAAAGGCGTTCCAAGTTAAGCGGCGATCGCTAACGTAGCTGCGATCCATGGAAAATGCGAGAGATGTTCCTTCCCCTCTCGATCGTATTAGGCGGTGGATGCTAAGCGGTGGTCGATACGAAAAAGGCGTTCCAAGTTAAGCGGCGATCGCTAACGTACCTGCGATCCATGGAAAATGCGAAAGATGTTCCTTCCCCTCTCGACCGTATTAGTCGGTGGATGCTAAGCGGCGATTCATATGAAACATGCAGGAAGTGCCCGGGTTTCCCCTCTCGGTGATCGATACCAAGAAATTGTTGCCACATGCAACCTTCTCTACGACATCCTTCTTCCCTAATGCATTCAAGTTTAGACTGTATACGCTTCAAAAAGTGGTGTTATTAAAATGTCAGTCACATGGAAGTGTCGCTTATTTGGTGTTTAAGTCAAACAAAACCTAAAATTGTATTGTATATTATACCTGTTGTACTACTTTTATTACATTCTATTAATTTACACGTTAAATCCAGCATATTTCCTTTTAGTAGACGAAGAAGTTAACATAACCTCCTACAAAAATTTACTGTCACCTTTGTTTATTAGTGGAATAAGAGCTATCACATAAAATTTTTCAGTTTCGCCAACTTAAGAATTACAAAATATACGTAAAATAACACCAGATTTCCAGAAAATGAGGTGAACTTTTAATTAAGATTGTGGAAAATTTAGGCCCTCTTCCGCAAATTTTTTTAATCTAAACGTGTTATTAAGGTGTCCTCTATCCATTTCTATCAATTTCATGATCATACCTGGGGGGCTTATTAGCGTAACGTACCCCCAAAGGACAACATTAACCGATGTCTATCCCGTGTTTTTACTAACAATTTAGGGGTACAGTGCTCCTGGATGGGCCACAGAGGCAATTTCAAGGTTCAAAACCTCACGATCATGAACGCTATTATTGGTAAGACGGCACATTTCAAATTTTACGATTAACAATTATAATTGACTAGATATTAGTAGTAGTGTTTTTGTAAGCCTTAGTTTATTGTAAAAAAATTAATCCCACATTTATTTCAATTAAGATTACTGATTCATATTTTGTTTGTTTAGAAGTGGTAATGCTGCGCTACAATAGCTTAATTCAACTCAGCGATCTTGAGCGAAATGTGGGAGAATGGTTTCGTCTTAGCAAACAAAGACTGCAGCGAGGCAAGGAAAAGGATAAGGAAAATGTCAACAATTCGTAGTATACGTTTGTCCTGAAGCAATATTTAAGAATTCATTTTATTTATTTTCCTGTTGATTGTTGTTTTTTATAAATTGTATTTTTTTTATATTAATATGGTATTACCTAGGTATATTATTTATACGTATATGTATTATAAATTTTTTGAAATAGAAAACATTTTGGTGATATTTAATTTCACTTTTAATTCGTAATTTTTACTGAATTACCAGGTCGCATGTGAGTAACTTTTTTGGTATTTTGGTATCAAATCTACTTAAGAAATATTTCACCTGTACAGTGCAAGTAAGTTAAATTGGAAGAACAATTTATATTACAAGGATATATTAAACAAAGAAGCATGAGTGTAACATTATGCATTGCATATTTATGTAAAAGTAAGTTACCTGTGATGTAAAATGTGACATAACAAATCTAAAAATATGTAGCATGTTTATCAATGTAATGTAACAATGTTTACTGGGGACATGGCCGATAGGATCGGTATCAACCCCTGATTAACCGATTCGGGAATGTACCTATAGGTATCATCCATGTGCTCCAGATCTTCGAGCTGGATTTCCGCTATAATTTCTCGCAACCTTTCGGTGCCCATTCTGAACGCATTCCAGCTTGCGCTCCGGAATTCCCACTGCACGTAATTGTGGTCGCTAATGTTTCCTGTTGCAGAACTTCCCAATCGTTCACTCTCGTCCGAACTCAAGCAACACATCAACTTCACTGAATTAAAATATAACGAAATGTCAAGGCCAAATTTAGAAAAATGATGGAGTAATATTGTTTACTTAAGAACGTGCAAGTGTGTCAAGTTACTATTGAAATTTTAGATAAAACCACAGACAACATATGTTATCTTATGCTATTGCAATGCATAGACCTCCGTCTACCGCAACGGAACTGTTTCCATTCGGATTTAACAAATACATTAATGATATTAAACAAAAAGCGGATTTTTACTCGCTAGTAGGGGACCTGAACCCAAGAATACAATTATTTTACTCTTTGCCTGAACCTAGATATCTTGCGCGACGAAATTAATGCTTTAAACTACTTGGACATTCAGAGCATAACAATATGTCAACCATCAACCACTATAGAAGATCTAAGATTGTCATGTCTTGACTATATTTATATGTACATACAACATCGATTAGGTACTTCATTATGAATCTTTCGTGTTAAGAATTAGAATTACGGATCAGTATGCAAACATAATTAACGTGAAAATGCATGAGGAATTTGTTGCCAACTCAAAATTGATTGCTAACCGTAAAAATTTATTTTTTCCGGTAATACATTATACCTATAAGTATTTAAAACGTGATCTGAATAATGATTCGTGGCTATTCGTGAATAACTAAAGGGTTTTAGTTAAATTTAAGAACCGTGACGTACTATATGTAGAGCAATGTCGACCATTTATAGATTTGGACTATGGATATGGATTTGTAACATACAGAAATCAACTAAACTTACTTCTTAAAGCAACAAAAGTCAAGTTAACCAAAATAAAAATTCTGGAGGTCTATGGAAGTTGTTCATCCAATTTTCGATTCAGATTAAGGTGGCGTTTACAAAAAGTGCAAAAGTTGCGTTGTGATTTCCTAATAACTTTGTTTCGAGGTAAAAAAATAAATTTCTGTTAACGACCGATGGATGCTGAGGGTTTAAGCTTGTGAATGAAGTTAAATTTGATTTGATTTTTTTATCAGTGTGTGATAAAAATGAAAATATATATTTTATATGGTAGGTTTTTAAGAACTTCTTTCTTAAATAACGGCGAAAATGCAGGAATTAGCTAAATAATTTTTGTTTCATGCAAATGTCGGAAGATTATATATTTGAATGAATGTTATTTCAACCAAAACTATATACCAAAAAGGAAGTTATTGTGGAAACAAATTTCCACTCTTTCAATGTAAACGCCACCTTAAAGTCACTAAATATAGAAAATACCGCAATCCATTGGGCTCGTGTGTTAGAGAGAGAACGCATGATTTTTGCCCAAAAATGGCGGAAGTTACCAGATTCTAGTAACTTTAATGTTAGGGATTGTTCCACCAGGAGATATCTATATATATTTTTACTAGCTGACCCGACGGACGTTGTCCGCTTTCCTAGCTATGCATACCTAATCAATTTGAACTGGAATAAATAATAACAAAAAATTATTTCAAGAAATTTACTGTGCCTAGCGCAGGTAACACCCGCCCCACCTGCGCATGCACGATTCTGCCCTTTTATGTCTAAGAATATGTGTACCAAATTCGGTTCCAATCGGTTCAACCGTTTAGCCGGAAAAGAGATTTTTACACACTTTCCCCAAAATCTCCCCATCTCTCCCCAGAATAATAAAAAATAAACGCACTTCTATGTAGTGTATTCGCTTGGCCACTGGCGCAACATAATCCCGGGGCTTCAGTTTTTAACTTAAAAGCCTTGCAATGTGGACAGACAAAGTTCATTGGTCTAATAGCAACGATTTACTGTAAACTGTAATCGATTGTTACGTGAGAATTAAATGCAGCTCGATAGGGATTAAAGGGGACATTGCTGCTCGTCAGTTTGACGTACTCGTATATACCGGGGGGTGCACGGTAAGTAGGAACATGGGGATTTAACATGGGAAATTAGTTTTATGCAATATCCTGCCCTCCTGTACATTTTACAGAAAAAAATTGTAGACTTTAAAGTTGTTCAGAATTAAAAGGTGCATACAAAACTGTTTTTAGTAGCAATAGCCATGACTTTTTTTTTTTTTACTTACACTAAGGTACTATAATATCACAGTTTCTGAACACACAACACAAGACAGGCGTGATTACATTTACTTATTTACTACACAAATATACATAAAGACAAAAATTTAAAAATATCACAGATGGTTTGCAATGCCAATTTGTTGGATGAACGCGAGAGTATTTTTACATTGCTCTTCATTTTTGAAGTTATTTTCCCATATCGGGTTTATATTAAATATCACACGTACATTCATATACTGCGGACAAATAGAAATAATGTGATGTGGTGTTAAATTAACACCACATTGTTCGCATAATGGCCGTTCTTCACCTGCCAACAAATACCCCTGAGTGAGAGCAGTATGCCCCAGACGGAGTCTGTACAGCCTGATCAAGTTCAAACGTCTAACGTCGATATAGAATAGCGGATCCAGACTAGGTTTGATCCTTTTCAAAGCCGTATCAGACTCCGACCACTGCTCACTCCACCGCTCATAGATTTTACTTTTCACAAGTCCACGCCGTGCAGTAGATGACATACTCGTGAAGTCAATATTCTCCAATTGGAGGTGGTTTAATACCTCTCTAGCCCTAACACCTAACGATCTACATCTGTATAGACGAGCAATGGTAGTCGCATCAGTAAGAGATCTAAAATTTGGATGTTTATCATCTAACCTTACTTTTATATAGTAGTTTGCAACAATCTGTTTCCGGCGAAGAGCTAGAGGGGGAATATTTGCCTCGACGTAGAGCGATGGAACTGGACTTGTTGGATATGCTCCCAAAGAATATCGAATAGCCAGGTTCTGAATCTTATCAAGTTCCCCAAGCAAAGCATTATTGCCACACGTAGAATACGCTGCACATCCATAATCCATCCTTGATAGGATGAGGGCCTTATATATATCCAGTAGGGTCTTAGGGTGAGCTCCCCACCTATGATGAGCGAGAACTCTCATGATGTTCAGCGATTTTCTACATGTAGCAGTAACATTATTTAAATGCTTTGACCACCGTAATTCCCGGTCAAAGGTAAGCCCGAGAAACTTGACTTCCTGAACAACACTGATTACACGATCATTCATTAGTAGCACAGGATCATAGTGCGGTCTACGGAGTCGGCAAAAGTGGACAGCCTTTGTCTTTTCCTCCGACAGCACAAACCCGACCGCATTGGCGTTACTACAGATTTTGTTTATGGCCACTTGTAGACTTCGAGTTATTGCACCGACCGTCTTACCAGAACAACAAACCATTAAATCATCAACATACAAGCATTTATCAATCATCCCCTCAACACCTTTAGCTATTTCGTTTATGGCGATGCCAAACAGGGAACAGCTAAGTGTTGACCCCTGCGGCACACCATTTTCTAAAACATACTCTTTTGAGTGGATGTCACCGATTCTTACAACAAACTTTCTGTTCTCTAGAAAGGATTGTATAAATTTTGGTAACTTCCCTCGAAGATTGTATTTATACATATTCTGCAATATTCCATATCACCAAGTCATGTCGTAAGCGCCCTTTATATCAAAGAAAACCGCAAGCAGGTGTTCACCACTGTCAAATGCACTCAGAATTCTATCGGTCAATTTGACCAAATGGTCAGCCGTTGCCCGTCCCTTCCGAAAACCCGTTTGATAAGGTACGTATATATTATTATCTTCAAGAAATGTTTGCAGCCGCACATTAACCATTTTCTCTAGCAGTTTTCCCAAGCAAGACGTTAAACTAATTGGGCGATAACTTTGTGCCAGCAACGGATCTTTTCCAGGTTTCGGTATAGGAATGACAACGGCCTGTTTCCATTCCGAGGGGTAAGTATGTTCATTCCAACAAATATTAAAGAAATCTAATACTTTGTTGCATTTCAGGAGTACAGTGATGAAACATCTGGTTGTGGATTTCGTCTTCTCCCGGTGAACATGACTTGGTGTTACGGATAGCGATATTCAACTCTTCTAAGGTAAACGGAGTATTATAATTTAAGTTTTCCTTAGTATCAAAAATAATAGGATTGGATTCTTTATGTTGTTTAGTGTGAAGAAATGTATCCGCATAATTTTTGGAGCTACTAACTTGGTAAAATTGGGTTGCTATGATATCCGATATATCCTCTGGTTTGTTTGTGATTTGTCCCTCTGAATCTCGCAAGAAGGCCAGACTATTGCAACCAATTTTACCTGATACGGCTCCAACCTTTTTCCACACTTCCTTGCTAGTAGTGTCCGGTGTAATCGTGGACACGTATTGATTCCAGGAGCTCCTCTGTGCTTCCAGTATTTTTCGGCGACACTCCGAACGACGTTTCTTAATAGTATATTAAGATACAAGTGTATAATCAAGTCTTTAAAGCACGCGCAACGAGTTTAAGGGCACGACGCAAAGCGGAGTGCCTTTAACGTTGCAAGTGCTTTAAAGACCAATTATACACGTGTATCTTATAGTATTTTTATTATACCTGCAGTATAATTTAAAAATAGGAAATACAATGAAATCATATTGACGTTATACTCGAATACATGTTTAATTAAGTGGGCTGGGTGTTCGTAATTTCACGATTGCCATGGAAATGTCACTTGACGTTTGCTTATAAAAATCATCGTCTTTGTGAATAAACGATTTCCGTTGAAAAACATAATACACCGCCCATTAAATCGATTGTTGTAAAATCTAAACAAACGTTGGTAGGTGTAAAATCCAACTCCAGTAAAGCCTATTATAAAGAATATGAAAAGTTGTTTCCATGGATGAATAGGAAGTTACTTACGAAAACAGTCTTAAATGCATCCATAATGCTGGCATATATGAAGGAAATGTCAAAGGTATTTAAATCTTCTATCTTTTGGTGCATTCATTCAAAACTTCGAACAATGCTGCGATTAAAAAGTAGAACAGATTTGGAAGCATACCCTAAATTATGCGCGTTTGTGAAAGCTTCAACCAAAGGATAGGTACAAAAGCCAAAGAAATGTTCTGCATTTACAGAAAGCGACCTAAGAGGAGTTTTTATTTCATCCAGATGACAGTTTCAAAAGTCATACTTGAAGTATCGTTACTTAGCAACTTTAAAGCACGTGTGTTTTAAAGGCCCTTTTTCGCACGCATTTGAGTGTTTAAAACTGAGATTGTGATTCAGGTATAATAAAAAAATTATTAAATTGTCCAACGTAGGATTACGTCTAAATCTATATAAGGCTTGATTTTTTAATGATATTTTTTCTTTTATTTCAGACGACCACCACGGAACCATTTTTGCTTTATTGCCAGGTTTGGATTTTGGAATACTGGCGTTCGCAGCGTCTAATATAGCAGATGTAAGAGTTTTTAAACTTAAGCTATCTAGGGCTGGAGGGACGAACTTACTTGCAAAAAGTTCCCAATCTGCTTGTGGGATCTTAAATCTAGCCACTGATCTTATCGTGGGATTTTTGCCTCTAACAGAAATGATTATGGGAAAATGATCGCTGTGATGGAGATCAGTTTCCACCTCCCATTCAAAATTACAGTATATATTTGGAGACCATATAGAAAGATCAATTGCGTCGAATGTTCCGGATCTCACGTTGAAAAACGTGGCCGAACCGTTATTCAAGATACTTAAGTTATCGTTTTCTATGAGTTCCAATAACTCTTTGCCTCGGGCATCATTTGAGGTAGAGCCCCAAACAATTTTGTGGGAATTGAAATCTCCGACAAGAACAAAGGGTGTTGGGAGCTGATTTATAATTTGTCTAATTTGTTCTACTTCATATGCTGTATTAGGAACGTAGATGTTACAAAGTGTAAAAGTTTTAACAATTTCAAATTGTACTGCTACAGCTTGGTAAGTTGTATTTAATTCAACCCTTTTATATGGTGTGCCTTTTCTAATGAGAAAAGCCACTCCTCCACAGGCTCTTTCAGGTGAGTAAAAATCTTTCCTTACCAGACTGAAATTTTTTATATTGTATTTTGATCTCGGTTTCAGGTGCGTCTCTTGAAGAGCAATACACAATGGGGTATACTTTTGAATTAAGAGTTTCAGTTCGTTGAAATTGTTAGATAGTCCCCGACAGTTCCATTGGATAATTTTTGTTGTATCCATTTTAAAAGTAAGTAGAAACAAACACAGTAGAATAATTTAACATGTAAATAAAATAAAAAATTACAGTGTATATGGGACTATTACAAACAATTAACAGTTTCACATGATAGACAAAGACAAGAAAACATATCACAGATGTAATCACAGATTAAATTTACTGACTAAAAATTTGCGGATCACCTGCCGTTTTACGAGGCATTCTGGGCTTGCCTTTTGGCCAACCTTTCTTTTTCTTTTGTTGTTTGGCCTCCTGCACTGTCTGCGAATCGACAGAGGTGATGCTGGAGGACCTTGTCCTAGCTAATGACATCCTACGCTTTGACCCTCGCGTTTCCACGTCCATGGTCTCAACTTCCGATGCAGTGGTCGGCTCTAAGAACTGAATACTTGTTTCGCTTACTTGCGAGATAGGCTTTGATTTATGAAGTCCAGATGCATGTCGAGAAAGTTGTTCGATTTTGGTGGTAAGTACCTTCATGCAACTTTTCATCTCTTCCTGTATTATTTTTCTGATTTCAGGCACAGTATTAGAGTGATTTGAAGGTGACGCAGCGGTTATCTGCGCGAATGACATGCTAGGCACCACTAGGGTGTCCACCTTTTTCTTCGCCTCAGGGTACGACAACTTGTGCAATATCTTTACTTCCTGAATTTTCATTTCCTGCTTGTAAACTTCGCAGGATTTTGCAATTGCTTTATGGGGTCCTTTACAATTTGGGCACTCCACAGGAATTTCACATAGAGTACCCTCGTGCGGGGATTTTCCACACACACATCTCTTCTCCTGTTTACAGTTTGTGGCGGAGTGTCCAAAACGCTGACAGTTGAAGCATCTTAAGGGGTTAGGTATGTAAGGACGTACTTGCAATGTATAAAATGCGGCCATTATTGATTTAGGTAAACGCGGAACGTTGAAGGTAAGAATGTGGTTAGGAGTATCGTGAAACTCTCCGTCGCGTTTCGTTCTTATACGCCTACCGCCAATGACACCCTGGGATTGTAAATTTTCCATTATCTCTTCAATGGTACAATTTAACAAGTCCTTACAATACACGACTCCCTTTGACGTGTTCAAAGCCATATGAGGTTCTACTTTCACCTCGAATTCACCAAGTCGCTTCGCTTTCAAAAATTGTTTAGATTGCTTGCTAGTTCGGGTTTCTATTAGTAATTCACCTTTCACTTTCTTTACATTTTTGACTTCTCCCAATAATCCATACAAAGACTTACTTATAAGGAAAGGACTTACGTTATTGAAGTCGCCTTCCTTCCTTTTTACAACCAGGAACCGGGGCACAGATTCCTCCGTCTCTCTGGTTGTGTTTTCCCGCATCGGGGGAAAAACCTCATCATCTGCTAGAGTTATGGTGGCACAAGTACGAGGATTGGAGCCACCATCCAATTCCTCGTTGGACCGAGCTTCCTGACGGTTCCGAAGGGGGTCCGGCCCAGACACCCCACCGCCCGAGTGGTTTGGATTATTTAAACTTTCCATACCTTTTTTTTGCATTTTATAGCTACTGCCAGCTGTGCAGGGTGGAAAACTGAAACGGTGACAACAACGGAGCCCTGCCGAATCACTACTACCTTCATGATTTCGTTGCGTCACCAGGATACCTACTATCAGCGCCGAGCAGTCGCTTGATAACGGTCGGGTGAGGCCTGCCCGTTCCGCCTCCTTCCCGACCGGCACTGGGGACCATTCGAACCCCCGCGCCGTAATGTTCGATCGCGAAAAACCTGAATCCATAGCCATGTCAGTTGCGTTTTTATGCTACCGCCAGCACATCTACCGGCCGCCCCTAACATAGAGAACAGACGCCGACCCAGTAGCCGCCGACTATGGGACAGACGCTACTGGGATTTTGAAATACATGAAACACGAGGTACAGGACACTATAACCACCACAGAAAGAAAAACAAACGACCTGGGATAGCTTAGCTTCACCACTGCTGGCAACAGTGGTTACTGAGCCCCCCCACCACGACAAGGTGCTTCCCTTGGAGGGGCCATGACTTTTGTTGTTTTATGAATTGCTACTAATAACAGAAATGTTGAAATTTATTTTTAAATTTGTGGGTATACCAAAAGCTTAATCAAACATGTAATAGTTATTTATGTATTAAGGGCATAATAGTGATGTTTATATTCTCGAGGGCGACAAGTTAAAGCTTTTTAGTCGCCTGAGAGTATAAACATCAGCTTATGCCCGTGGTACATACAAAATTTTATGTTTTACAAATAATTTTCTTCGTCAAAGTAAATATTCCTTTACAAAATAATTCATAATGTTTGATTAAGTATGCGTAGTTCGAATTTGTTAATATGATTGAAACCATCCAAACGTCAAACGTAATTTTAAATAATTCAATTCATCGTGAATGAGCAAGAAGTTCCAGAAACTATACGAAATAAGGCCAATCTTGTGATTTAGTAAGGTATTGACAATTAATAATTGACGTTTCTAATTTTCAATTACCTGCAAATATTTGTTTGTTTTGTCATTAAATATGAATGAGTTACTATGGTGATACTTAATGCCGCGTATCACAGATATAAAATGTGCTATGATAGGTTAGTAAGACATAATAGTATATTAAGATACAAGTGTATAATCAAGTCTTTAAAGCACGCGCAACGAGTTTAAGGGCACGACGCAAAGCGGAGTGCCTTTAACGTTGCAAGTGCTTTAAAGACTAATTATACACGTGTATCTTATAGTATTGTTTATTATACCTGCAGTATAATCTAAAAATAGGAAATACAATGAAGTCATATTGATGTTATACTCGAATACATGTCTAATTAAGTGGGCTGGGTGTTCGTAATTTCACGATTGCCATGGAAATGTCACTTGACGTTTGCTTATAAAAATCATCGTCTTTGTGAATTAAACGATTTCCGTTGAAAAAGATAATACACCGCCCATTAAATCGATTGTTGTAAAATCTAAACAAACGTTGGTAGGTGTAAAATCCAACTCCAGTAAATCCTATTATAAAGAATATGAAAAGTTGTTTCCATGGATGAATAGGAAGTTACTTACGAATACAGTCTTAAATGCATCATAATGCTGGCATATATGAAGGAAATGTCAAAGGTATTTAAATCTTCTATATTTTGGTGCATTCATTCAAAACTAAAGCAATGCTGCGATTAAAAAGTGGACCAGATTTGGAAGCATACCCTAAATTACGCGCGTTTGTCAAAGCTTCAACAAAAGGATAGGTACAAAAGCCAAAGAAATGTTCTGCATTTACAGAAAGCGACTTAAGAGGATTTTTTATTTCATCCAGATGACAGTTTCAAAAGTCATCTTGAAGTATCGCTACTTAGCAACTTTAAAGCACGTGTGTTTTAAAGGCCCTTTTTCGCACGCATTTGAGTGTTTAAAACGGAGATTGTGATTCAGGTATAATAAAAAACAGTTTTGTATGCACCTTTTAATTCTGAACAACTTTAAACTCTACAGTTTTTTCTGTAAAATGTACAGGAGGGCAGGATATTGCATAAAACTAATTTCCCATGTTAAGTCCCTATGTTCCTACTTACCGTGCACCATCCGGTATGTTTGACTTGTAGGATTACGAATTCTGCGACCTAAGTTAGTACCATGCTGGTACGTCTAATTAGTAGCATCTCGAAAAAACTAAAATTCAACTGAAAATAGAAATTAACTCTCTAGTGTTTCTGTATAACTATGTATACCACGTGTTTAATGTATCAACACTTACCAAAAATGGATATTAGGTACATCAAACTTTTAATATAAAAGGCGTGATTGCGGTGAAATAACATCGACATTTCTCAAAAAACTCACTGAAATCTGGATAAACTTTCCGATCGAATTGACAGCATACAAATTAATTGTTTGACGGATATATGCCGATCGATGTAGCTGTTAAAACAATTGCTGCCGCACGTTCTAAAGTTATTGCGTGACCAGAAGAAACAGGGATTCATTTTTATATATAGAGATAAAACATGACAGTATTATAAAGTTAGGTTATAAAAAATTACAGCTATTCAGATTTTATTTGTCAATTTTCTTAAGTTGGCAGCAAATTTGCCCAAAAATGGCGGATGATTGCGGTCTTAGACTATGAAAGAGAGATTGCGGTACTTTCTAATTTCTATATCTAGTGACTTTACGCCACCTTAACAGACTGAGACCTCTGGTGGCAAGATTTTCTAATTTACTTATATCACAGATTATATCTGTGCTTATATGCAACGATATGTTTCTCATATTTGTAATTAAAAAAATTGTGCGAACTACATTTTTGTTGTTCATTGTCCTTTCGAAGATCCTATACAAGTTTTTATGTCAAAAATTGAATTTGCAGGGGTAATCTTCAAATTATTATTCGAAAACGGCGAGAGGATTTGCAAAAGAGTTTTCACTGTTTTATTAAGGAAAGATCGAATTTTCTTACGGTATGCGTAATCGTCTAAAAAAGTGAGACTACTTCATTTTGTCAAAGCTCTCAACTTTTACATTTTTAAATATCAGTATCACCATTTTTTCAATTGGCACCCCCCCCCCTTTTTCTTCACTGTTGTTTTCCTTTTTCCGAAACCTTTAACTTGATACAACATGTCCAAGGCTGCTTCAAGCGATTTCCGAGATATTCCATGTTTTAATTACCTACTTCTTGTAACAAATTGAAAAAAAAAATTAAGTCTCTTTGAATATCATTAAGCGATGCAGTTGGATTTGCAGTAAAATAAGCCAGTAATAGTTATTTCTTGCTCTTCAGAGTCTACCACAGGCTTTCTTTTTTGTATTTTTGTTTGCAACATACCGTTATTCCTGCAATTTTTGTAATAATTTGCAAATTGTAGCCTCTCTGTGGGCCGCGCCTTGTCAGGTTATCTTTCCGAAACAAGACGACAAATACTGGCCTTTATTCGATTACCTACATTCAACGTGTATTAATATTAAATTCAAAAAATCTTCATTAGTGTAACCCAAACGAGCCATTATTGACGAGAAATAAAAGTTGAAAACTGTTCAAGAAGCGAAAATTTGACGTTTAGACGTTATCATAATAAAAAACACTCGTAAAAACAACATAACATCAATCGACTTAATTTTTTTTTCAATTTGCTACAAGAAGTGACTATTATCGCCGCCAAAAGAGAAGAGCCCTGCGTCATCAATGTACGAATGCATAAATCCAAGGTGTTGATACTTACATCTCAAAAATTTGCGCAACCCAAAAAAGGACAGAGAACGAAACAAGTTCTTGGGATATAATAGACGTGCGCTTTTGAAAAGCTAAATGTAATGAAAAGAGATAACCTATAACGCTTGTCAAGTTTAACATGCAGATTTGATGCTGATTTGACCAACGTCGTAATACTCCTAATTATTTTCAAATTTTCCATAACCTCTTTTGCTCTTCGTTTTCTTCGATTTTGTATAAATAAGCAGGGCTCTTCTCTTGTGGCGGCGATAATAACATGGAATATCTCGGAAACCGTTTAAAGCAGCCTTTGACATTTTGTATCAAATTAAAGGTCTCGGAAAAAGCAAAACCGCAGTGAAGAAAAAAATAGGGGGTGCCATCTAAAAAAACGGTGTTACGGATATTTAAAAATTTAAAAGTTGAGAGCTTTGACAAAATGAAGACAGTCTCACTTTTTTATACGGTTACGCATACCATAAGAAAATTCCATCTTTCCCTAATAAAGCAGTGAAAACTGTTTTGCAATATCTCAAATAATTTCAAATAATAAATTTTTAAAATTACTCATGCAAATTCAATTTTTGACATAAAAACTTGAATATCGCCGAAGCCCTTGGAGCAAAGGGTCAACTATGTGGTATGTATGGATGTACTCCAAATTCGACGTAAAATCCTAAATGTAGAAAAAATAGGGGGTCCCTATTTAAAATAACAAAGTTGATAGCTTCTTCCAGTATTTCCGGAAGTGGCGCCATCTTGATAACATTTTAGTTCAATTCATCATGTTCATTTTCAAAAGGTTCTCCACATCTTTTTAACTGACACCCGTCAAGAATGACCCTGTATAAAATATTAAAGAATTTACTGTGGCTATAAATTGTTGGGATTCTTCGATCTTCAGGTCATCAATTAATTTATGGTAGGCCCCATACTTTTCTCTCTTCGAGATCCATTCTCTCATCCAACACTTGCGATTTCTTTTGTTTTTCACATTATTGCCTAAAACTACTACAGCCGCGGTAACAAGACGATGTCCTATTCGCGCCATAATGCGAGATAAGTACTCGAAAACAGTTGCTAGATATGAAACTGACAGCATATTTTGCGGAAGTTAGAAGCGCTGCTAGTATAAACAGTTTTGTGAGAAATTGCGTCAGCAATGGCGGCTCACTTGACAGTTTTTGGCGACACTTTACTGCTCATAGTGTAAATGTGGAAGTTGCTCACGCGAGATTGCCGCAAGTAACTTGTTAGTCGCTCTGCACCTTTAGCGCGAACCGTCGGCGTCGACATGACGGAACGGAATGTACGGCAACCTTTAGTGGTACGAGATGAGAACTGTTTAGGTTGAATTGCTGGAGAATGAATAATTAATTAGGCACCTACGTATGTAACTTAGCCTTTTTTTTATTATTTTTAAATGTATAGGTAGTAGCTACATAAAGGCAAAGCAGTCAGTTTATATTATTGGAGACAGTTTTCTAACGTTGTAGTTCTGTTCTTACATAAAGGTAGGTAAGCGCTTCAATAAATAAATAGTGTTGAATATTGGCATTGATAAGCCAGGCAATCGACACAAGTAGGACCAATGTCACGATATGCACTCCTCGGAATCTTATCGAAATCGAAGGCCTTGAATGTTTATCTCAGAAGTGTAAAATCCACGTTTATCATTACGGACGAAATAATCACGACTTTATTAGAATTTAAATTATTTCTTTACTAAAAATGTGATAATTAATTAAATTGGAAGGTTGTAGGATGCTGACATCTTCGTGTCGCATTTGTAACCGTTGGATTTCTTTTTGCTAGTCATACTGTATATACGCCAGATGGTGCGACGCATGCCGTATAATGATTTACCACGTTTTGAAAACTTTTTTGCTTGGCAACGTAGTCCGTAAATCCCGCACAGGGAAAGCATTTCTAAACTCATTTACTCAGGCAACGTTCAATCGACAGTCGCAGGTGGCAATGTCTTACGGAATTGTAGAACGAGGTTCACCTTTCTCTCAAGATTACAGGGTGTACATAAGTAAGTTATTTACTATAACCTAAAAGTGCTTTTTCCATGTTTCTACATTACAGCCGACAATAATGTACCAATTTCGCCCTTACACGACATTCCATTATTCTCAGATCAAGAGAAAAATTTATACAATATGGTGGTAGAAGTTCCTCGATGGACAAACGCGAAAATGGAGGTAAATCTAATGTTCCATGTTTAAAGTTTCCATTACACTTTGCTCTCCTAGATTACAATGAAGGAAGTCCTAAATCCAATTAAGCAAGACATAAAAAAGGGTAAACCACGATTTGTGTCCAATTGTTTTCCTCACCACGGATACATATGGAACTACGGGGCCTTACCGCAAACGTGGGAAAATCCCGATCATCTGGATGATGGCACTGGTGCAAAAGGTGACAATGATCCTATCGATGTCATCGAAATCGGTTACAGAATAGCCAAGCGAGGAGAGATTCTCCAAGTTAAAATTATCGGAACAATTGCTTTAATCGATGAAGGTAAGTTTATTACTTTAGACTTTTAAGTTACGAGCTAATAAACATTGTGACTTGTTATCGTGTTTATGTCCAAGTTTAACTACTTGACCTTCATTAACTATTATAGATAAAGATTTGTGTATTCTTTTAATTGCTAATTATTGCGCGAATTATTGACTTTAAATTAGATAAATAGGAAAGTAGGCATTGGGCAAGCGTGCTAGAATGCAGTTGAGAAAGGTATGTTGGGCCCCTAATGCTATAGCAGTATCATTAATGTTGTGACCATAAAACTGTAATTCTACCTAGAGCAAAGGAGACTGCAGTTCTGTTGCAAGGTGGAATATTCATTTTTCACAAGATTTTTCATAAATGGTGAAATAAAAATTTTGAGATTTAATTGGTTCAACAATGCTGTATAGAGATATTACCTATCGATAAAAATTTCCAGTCTTTAAAAGAGTAGGTATGTTTTTAATTATTTGAATATGTTAATGAGGGATTGTTACTAAATGTTTAAGCTTGCGAATAATGTAAATTTGATGACAAATTATTATCAGTGTGTGATAATGATAAAAATGAAAGATATATTTGTGTTATACAAATCTTGTTATATACAGGGTGTTTTTTTGGGAGCTTTAGTTAAACGTTTCTGGGAAAGTAAAATAAGTAGGTTGTTGAAAATTTGTACTTAGGAGTTACTCTGAAGAGCGAATCGATGTAAAATATTTTCAAAATGGCCACACTTCCGGAAACACCGGAAGTAGATAGTAACTTCGTTATATTAAATGGCAACCCCTATTCTTTATTGCATTTTTGGATTCTACGTAAAATTTCAATTCTTTTGATACTCACATGTCCATATCTGCCATTTATGGTTTTTAAGTTATTTTGACTTTATGAAAAAAAATGGCGGATGCAAATGGTACCTTGATTACTTGAAAACGGTTATAGTCATGGCAACCCATTTTTATCAGTGCATAGAGAATGAATGGGGCTTTCTTTTAGTGTAGGTTGCATACAACCGCACCTATGGAGATCCAAATTTAAGAAACTTCAAAGTCCAAAAACTCAGTTTTTTTTAATGGAATGACCATGTTCTTACTATTGCATGAGATAGAGAATCGAAATTGGAATATTTTGATATTACATGTTCCTATAGCTATCTTTAACATTTTCTGATTTATTCCCATTTCATTGAATTGATGCCATTTTTTTTTCGCATTTTCATTTTAGTAGTTGGCCATGATTTTATAACAATCGAATTTTAAACAAATCAAGGAAAGGATACTTTAATATCATTGATTCTAGTCTCTAAATAATTCATTAATAAATAAGTCATTTATTAAGGATATAGGACGGAAAATTTTTGAGAAATCTAGACAGAGTCATTCAACTGAATTTCTTAAACAACATATAAGTCTGAAAATTCAGAGAGATAATGCGATATCTGTTTTAGCAACAATTCCATACAAAAAATGTTTCAACGAAGTTTTTTATATTTTACATTGGATTTATTTTGTTAATCTGGCATTTGCAATTCAATTCATTTTCTTAAATATTCTCTTGTGCTTTGTATCACTTGTGCTTCAACGGTTTGTAGTGCATTTGGGGATACAACATTTCCAAAATTCATACAATTTCATTCCAGTGTTCGAATGAATGTACGGCAAGCATGTGCCGCGATTCTGCCCATTTCACCATAAATAACAATTAAATTCCAAAATAGGTGAAACCACTGCGAGTTATTTTTCGATTTTTGAAAAACTTATGTTAACCTATAACAGTAGGTGACGGATTAGTGTCACTGTTTAAAATTCAATTGTTATAAAATCATGGCCGACTACTAAAAAGAAAATTCGAAAAAAATAGTGTCAATTCAATAAAATGGGAATAAATCAGAAACTGTTAAAGATAGTTATAGGAACATGTATTGTCAAAATATGCCCATTTCGATTCTTTATCTCATGCAATATTAAGAAAATGGTGATTCCATTTAAAAAAACTGAGTTTTTAGTCTTTGAAGTTTCGTAAATTTGGATCTCCATAGGGGCGGTCTTACGCAACTTAACTTTTTTTAAGTACACTAAAAGAAAGCTGTATTCATTCTATATGCACTGATAAAAATAGGTTGCCACCGTTTTCAAGTAATCAATTATCAAGGTACCATCTGCATCCGCCATTTTCTTTCTTAAAGTCAAAATAACTTAAAAACCATAAATGGCAGATATCGACATATCGCACATCTAGTTCAATAGTGCCGCAAGTGCCAACACAACAATGTTAGAGTACGTGCAAATAAAGTTAGTGCTGTTTAGATATCCAACCATAACAATTGCATATTACTATCGATTTTTGTGCGCCTTGTCATACATTGATTATTTAATGTGATACTTTGATTTTAATTTATACCATTATCAATGGATTAATTAAAAGTATAATTTTGTTAGTTGTGGCCATATTGCGTCCACCACTTTTGAACCACCCGTGCATAAAACCAAATAGTTTTCTAGTAGTTGTGGCGTTATTGCAGTAAATTACTAACTGAAATATTTTTTTTATTCAAAAGTAAAAAATATATAAAAGTATATAAAAGCACGTTCATTATACTCTAAAAAAGTTAAACGATTACTTTTCACCAATTATGTTATTATAGAACCCATGGTACACTTTTTTAATAGCATTTTTTGCACATAAATAAGCAAGATGTTCTTTAGTTTTTTGAGATATCGATGGGGCTTTTACAAAGGCCTTTTCGGGATAACATGCGCTAATGTCAATGCAACGCCTTAGTTTTTCCTGGATGTTAATTTGTTCATATTCAAGGAAGTCAAAGTCAGTTTTATAAAAAAACGACGTTGGATAATTTTTTTCTACGCGTAGAACTTGAATCTCATTCCACACAACCTTTTCTTGTTTGGAATTAATTGAAAAATTTTTCCCAATTGTGTCGCTAAATTTTTTAAAATCCAGAAAATCTTCTGTGGCAAGTTCATTCACGATGTAGGGTGTACCTTCTTTCTTGGCCGCTCTGATAATTGGAGCCCATTGTGACGGTACATAAATAGGGCCACTTCTTAGTACTCTACGCTTCTGGCGCTCAATACTGGCGTGCATTGAGTCTCCTTCATTTTGGGTATGGCCTACCGTAAGGAATTTATGTGTAATGCTTTTGACATCAAATTTGTTAACTGCGCAGAGATACATAGAAACAATCATTTTGTTCTTATTTTGCCCTACGCAGTTGTCGGAATAGAAGATGACATCTTTTCCTTTGCACTCCGTTTTTAAATAATGTAATATACAAGTTGCTATTTCATTAGCACCTCTATTAGCAATCGCCTCATGCCAAAAGTAACAAAACCCTCTTTTCGATGGTATTTCAAAAACTGTGAAGTTCAAACAATTTAAACGGCATTTGTAATAAAATGTGGAAACATCTCCACAAGGCGTCGGTAAAACCGCTTGTAAGTCAAAACAGGCTATTTTAAAGGAAGAATCTTGTTTTCCTTTCTCGACGTCTCGAGCCTTTTCTTCTCTACTCTTGATTTTGTTGTTAATGTGCCGTTCGTATCCTTTCTGAAGCGACAATCTTTCGTCTGTATCAGAATTTTTAAAGGTTTCGCAAATTGCACATTGGTCCTTTTTAGGTTGGAAAAATGATATGTTAAATTGGGTTTTAAAAATGTGTTCATAGGTACATTTTTTGGCAACTGGCAACCCTTCAGCCTCTTGCTCGGATTTATAGTATCGATACATTTGCGCTATCGTTAAAGATCCGTCTATGTACTCACGTGTCGTCTGTGCTCTGAGATAATGAGATTCTATTCGTTCAAAAGAGTTGATGTGAGCAACAATTTTTTCTTTAATCGAAGTATTGATTGTTTCCCTCTTATTGAAGTTTCCTCTTCGATCTCTTTCTATCAGAGCATTACCATTCGATTTTTTCCATGTTGTCCTTATAAACTTATCACCAATGTCCAGGGTGTTCATGAAAAATGTTTTACACACTTGTATTTTAATTCCTCGCAGCGTCAAGTAATAACACAAATTTTCACTGCGATTACTTCCCTCAATGGCTCGACGGTATTTTACTTTTAGAGTTTCCATGTGACTACTTACAAATTGTCTTTGAAGAGCATTATCTCCTTGTTTCCAAAAACAAGTGTGAATAGTTAGTCTATCAGCATCGGTAAATTTAGTAGTACACGCTGACCTGCATTTTGTTGTACAAGGAGGTTTTAAACGTTTTCCAGGAATCTCCCTATTACCTTCAGACACATAGGGCAAACCTGAATTTACCCTCATTTTTTTCACGTTCCTTTTCCAAGTTTCGGGCCTAGCGATTATTTTACGTGGTTTTTTCTTTTCATCTTGAGCTTCAGCGATAATCCGTTTTTCTACATCATTATTAGGGTTCACTTCGATTTCAGAGCTTGTGTTTTCTGGTGAACTAGAATCATCACCTGAAGGTGTGTAATCTTTATCATTAATGGAATCATCTGAGTCAAAAATGGCTGCATCATTATTAATCTAGAACGCAAATGAGTGTAATATGGGAAGATTCTGATATTAACTGGTCACCTCCTCCGCTTGCTGGTCGTCCAAGGGAGTCACAACATGTCCATTACTAATCTCTGACACTGCAGTATTCCCTGAGCATCCTGGTAAATCTAGCGTTGTTGAGTTCTAATATAAAAATAAGTACATAATTGTTATTTAAAGTTAAATCAACTTACGTTATGTGCCTCTAATCCAAAAATGGGATCATTGTATTTCGAAAAATCTACCTCTAAGTCCAATAAAAAGGGTTGATTCGTAGAATACTAAAATAATAAAAATTCAAATAAATGACAATATTATTTGTCGTGAATCATGACAGATTCATTTAGACTTACTTCTTGTAATATTACGTTAGGTACCAACTGGCAATTTTGAAGTTCAGCATACGTTTTCTTTGGTTTAGAGGTGTTCTAAAATACAAATACATCTAGAGATTATAAAACCAAGCGTTTGTTTACTCGAACCTCACTCTCTTTCGGATCCTCGTTTTCAATGTTATCTTTATCTAAAGCCAACTTTACTAACTTTTTTGCACGAGACATAATAACAAACGAATGTGCAATACTCGCTCAAGATACAATATTTGTTCACTTAACACCAAATTAATCTGTTGCCAGCGGAAACAAACACACACTTCACTGTTGTTGGTAGGAAAGCAACTGCGTCATAATTATAGCGGCAAAATAGTTTTTGATGCTATAGAGCCATAACTGTTGTTTGCGGCGGTAGCGCACCATGATGCGCAAGTATTCAAGAATCATATGGCCACAACTGACAGTTACGGCTCTATTGCACCACAATACTATGAACCTGCAATAGGGAAATATCTTACACTGCATTGAATAATATTAAAATGTTACATATGGCTATATTGCAGTGCATGCGTTAGACATAGAAGAACAGCAATATGGACTTAAGTGAAAATTTGAATTTTTTGCACTTATGGCACTATTGAACTAGATGTGCGATATGGGTATCAAAAGAACTGAAATTTCACGCAGAATCCAAAAACCCAATAAATTGCGGTTGCTATTTAAAATAACGAAGTTACTATCTACTTCCGGTGTTTCCGGAAGTGCGGCCATTTTGAAAATATTTTACATCGATTCGGCCTTCAGCGTAACTACTAAGTACAAATTTTCAAAAACCTACCTATTTTACTTTCCCAGAAACGTTTAACTAAAGCTCCCAAAGAAACACCCTGTATTGTATTTGAATAAATGTTATTTCAACCTAACATTTTGGTTCGAGAGGCAGTTATTCTAGAAACAATAATCTATTGGACAAAAGCAAATAGTCATGACAACGCCATGGTCTCCTAGTTATAATAATAATAATAACTCATACATACGACACATAAAATTTTAATGTGTTATTGTATTTTTCAAATAAATATATCTTAATGCGTCTTTTAATACTTGAAATTTTAGCTATCATCTGTTATTATAAAAATGATAAAACTTTTAATAGTGCTTTTAGTAATAATGAAAAAGTATTTACTTTCGACGGAAAATTATATTTTAGCATTGTTTATTTTAAAATGTACAAACAAAAGGCCAAAGCGGTGAATTACTTTTGATATGGACTTGGCTATGCCCAGTTTGAATTTCATGCAACTCGGTTCATAAATGGGCGAGGTGACAAAAGCTATCGAAGTCTAGCCCATTTGGACTCTCCGAACAGTAAGATCTTGTCGGGGGCTACCACATTCCCTTTGTCGATACCCACATAAATCCGCCATTTTGGTAGATTTTAGGGTCGAGTTTAAAGTTTTAGGAGCCGTTTATGCTTTCTCCCAATCGTCCGATCGCTAACTCGATGGGATTCATGTCCATCGATTTAAAAGAGAACAAATGGACCGATTACGATGAAATTTTGCAGCTCGAATAAAAGAAAAACTAATGCGGCTAGTTATGAACCGAATTGCATGAAATTTTGTATGTAGACACTTCGAATAAAAGCAAAACGACTGCCGAACCAAAAATTTAATTTGATTTGTTAATTTGTTAAGATATTTAAATGAAATTTTGTATGTAGGCACTTCGAATGCGAGTAAAACGAATACCGAACAAAAAAAATTTGTTGTGCGCATGCGCAATCCAATTTTTTTAATTGTTAAGGTATTTAAATGAAATTTTGTACGTAGACCCCTAGAAAAAAAATAGTTCTAGTGTTTGTGTAATCAAATAATGTCTTTATCCAAACTCGTTTATTTTCTTTCTCTCTTCTCTATTAACAATAATAAAAAAAATCGCACAGTTAACTGCACATACACAAGCACACGTCTTCCCACACTTTTTTTCTCTCTTATTTACGTACATGATAAATTTGTAAAAATTATTATTTTCCCGAAAAGTAAACGAGATAGGTAGGTGCCACTTATAACTAAAGTTATCACAATGTTGCAAATTCCAAAAATCTAATAAAAAGCAGGGAATTCCATTTTAAAGAATTAAGTTAGGTAGCGCCACCTATCAGTTACGCATTTAAAACTTTTTCTCGACTTTTTATCACAAAATATATGGCCCTAGCTTACATTTATATCAAAATTTTTAGAATGTTAAAATCTGCATCCGTTCCAAAGGTACCGCACTGTTCCATTCCTCGCCGAACACCCTGATACTTGATGCTTTGGCATAAAGCAAAATTGATTCAAACTGTCCATTAAAAGCTTAGCCACAGAATGGTTTGAGTGTAAATTACTGAGCTTGACTACAGACAAGACTGTATAGGTGATGTTCTTTTTAAGATCCATCGATACACTTAAAAATGTCGACTCAATTACATTTTTAGAAGTATTTATGGACCTAGATCGAAGATGGGGTCATCCATTAATGCAAAACTATTTTCGTGTTGCGTAATTTGAGGTCACATGTGACTAAAAATGTGCTTATTGTAGCTTACTTTGCGTTCTTATCCCGTTTCTAATATGCTATTACAGCATTGGGCCATACTCATTTTTCATTTTGACAGTTCTACACTCGATTCTATATTTGGTCCTGCTTAGAACGCGGCACATTTCGACCCAAAGCAGAACAATTTTCGGGAATTTAATTAGAAATCAATATTGAGCTTTGCACGCAATTGTTACTAAGTATTTTGTTACAAAACGCAATATTCAGAAATGAGAGTTGGTTTCGTGCTAGGCAAATGAGCAATTATCTGTTTTCTAATTGATACACTGATACACATTTGTATTAACGGATGGAGTGACCTTAATATTTATAAAGAAGGTAATTATTCTTTCTAAACAAAACCTAATGCTTCTAAGGAGTGTATAGCAAACTCTGCTTGCATCGTCTCGATAATAATAATAATAATAAATGTATTGATTACCAGGTCTATATTTTACAACAGGTACCTACTACATGTTATAGTACCAATTAGGCGAAACTTCAGATTCTTTAGGATCAAGGAATAAAGAAAAAAATGTTCCAAAACCCACTCGTGGGTATTGCCGCGTAACACAAAGTATTGAAACGATGCATCGTCATCGAAAGTACACAAAATGTCGAATCTGTATATTGAAGTACATCCACGTCCAGAGAAAGAGAGGGGTTAAATAAGTAAAATAAAGTTTCAAAGAACTTACCACACATAAGAAAGTTGGCTATGAGCAGTCTGTGCAGTCACTGCGCATGTCCACATAATTTTTACCATGTGCGAAATGATTGCCTTTACTAGAAGCATCTGTGGTTAAAATTTCAAAGAAATATCTCCATAAATAAGAAAGTTAGCATTGCGCAGTCACTGCGCATGTCCACATAATTTTTACCATGTGCGAAATGTTTGCCTTTACTAGAAGCATCTGTGGTTAAAATTTCAAAGAAATATCTCCATAAATATGAAAGTTGGCATTGCGCAGTCTGCGCAAAATATGGAGTTAAATGAAACTGATCCAAATGGGCAAATATAGACCATAACAGCTATCAATTAGAGAAAACCCGAAGTCTCTAGGTGGCCCAGGGGCCGAGATCTCGATGGAACGGACGGACGGAAACACGAGCACATAAGCTTTACCTCAACTTCGTTGTGTTACGCTAAAAAGCAGAGCTTATATTTGCGCTTAACCATTTTTTGGTATACCGTCACAAGATCGACAAGGAGTTCATTTTAACAACCTGATTTTAAAAAACATTAATATAGAGCAGTTCTATGAGGCCAACACACTTTTCCGTCCCTCACTCTCTAATCTCGGGCCATTGTACGTGTACGCGAAAGAACTCTGCGCAAAACAGGTTATAATCATAGTTTTCTGTAGGAACTGTGATTCTATCTACCAAGTGTTAGGAGAGGACTATTGGAAACCATTCACCTCATAACTGTTGATGCAAGGAAGGGCAACGCGCATGGTTAGTTCGACGCTTGGTGAACTTACGCGGGTAGGCAATATTCGCCGATATAAAATGAACTCTCGTTTTGCTACCTAAATTGAGAGCTGACCTGCAATGCGTGTTTGTTTGGTTGTTCCTAATAAGAACAATACTGCCTTTAGTTAATGTATTGATCACTAGTTTTTTAATTATGTACAAATGAAAACCAGAAGCAATACAATGCATGTTTTGGAAACAGCAGCTATTTGTACTAATATACTCTATTTACTTGCTACGAATTTTTACTCAATTTATAAATTTTGCAGGAGAGACTGACTGGAAGCTGATCGCGATTGATATTAATGATCCCTTAGCAAATGATATTAACGATGTGGGAGACCTAGACAAACACTTCCCAGGCTTACTAAAGGCGACCGTGGAATGGTTTAAAATTTATAAGATCCCTGATGGAAAACCAGAAAATCAATTTGCATTTAATGGGGAGGCTAAACCTGCTGATTTTGCTCTTGGAGTTGTTGATCAGGTAAAAGTTGGTTGTGCATTTTTAATCACTTAATTCTGTATGCTTTAGGTACATAAATTTTGGAAACAATTAGTTGGTAAGGAAGTAGACGCTAAAGGTATTTCATGGTAAGTTGGGTAACAATATTATTTTCTGTTGATGGCATCTTTTAGTATAAACACATCCCTGGAGGGTAACTCGTTCATGATTTCAAACGATGAAGCAATGGAGATTATTAATAAAACACCACTACTACAGCCACCACAGCCAGTGGATCCGATAGGTAATAATATTATTCAAATAATTTACGCTTTTTTTTAAATGCTTTTCAGTGGATAAGATTTATTTTACTTCTACAAACTCTTATCTTGCCGCACATCTTTAGCTAATTTTCTTTGCTTGCTTCATTAGGTATGAAAAATATCTTTTAAGTATATCTAATTAAATTGTGGCTAACAGGTTATTGATTGTATGGTTTTTTTATTTCAGTGGACAAATGGCATTATGTCCATCTTAAATAGTATGATGGACAGTGAATCCCACCACGTGTGACTGGAACATAATTTATTAATGAGAAATTACATGCTGTTTTTTTTGTTGTGTGTGTACTTGCCATTAGAATAAAAAGCATCATGAGAAAAAGCTTAGTATTTCTACCTTCAGCTAATTGGGGCGATTCTTCTCCATTCCAATCCGTCTCCCAACTCCGCCGCCTATCACTGTAAATAACCAAGCTGGTGGCAAGTAAACTTTTGCCGACCATTTGCGCGAAGAAGGCGTTGGTTGGACGGCCAAAATTGCCGAAATATTGGAAAAATGAGCAAGAAAATAATAATTTGCACAACATTAATCGTTACATTACGAGACGAGTTTCTGTAACTTGTGTACCTATTGTAATAATTCCCTTCTAATTTTCTGTTTATTACCGTTCAGCGAAAGAGAAAGATCCCTTGAAGGTTGCACTCTCTGGGATTTATTGAAATTCATTCGTAAATGTCAATTACACCCAGTTTAGGTACTTACCTCAATTTAGAGATTGCCATTACCATTTTTCTATTTTTGCCACAACTGCATCTGCTGAACGCAGTTTTAGTAAGCTCAAAATAATTTAAGGGCAACTACTGGTCAGGATAGACTTCCCTGCAATTTAGCTATATTGTCGATTGAGCAAGATGGTTGCCAGGAATATGAACTTCAATGACGTCATCGACGAATTCGCTACTTTGAAGTCATAAAATTTCTTTGTAATTTGCATGATTTGTTTTTGGAAATTTGTTGTATACCTAAATATTTATATTTCATTATGTATATTATATTTGCATGCAAACGTTGTTTGTGGCTCGATATGTAGGAACCGTGTCTGCATGCATCTCTATGCGCATCAACTGCTTTATAGTCTATATTTTTTATGTACGTCTCCATTTGTCGATAAACGTTTATGAGTAGAGTAAAATATAACATCGAAGTTGAATAACGTTTATTATAATTTTCCTATGGCTATCGATTTCGGCAACATTGCCATCATCAGGCCTAGCTATAAATATATCCTGTGTTATATAAAAGATAAATATAATATCTTTTATATAACACAGGATATATTTATAGCTAGGCCTGATGATGGCAATGTTGCCGAAATCGATAGCCATAGGAAAATTATAATAAACGTTATTCAACTTCGATGTTATATTTTACTCTGCTTTATAGTCTATTCACTTTAAGAAGATAGCGGTAGAAAGTATAGGGAAGCTTTGGTCTTCAGTGTGATTGGTTAAAACACGAGTCAGTATTACGCTAAAAAACGCGAGTGACCAATTTCTTAAGCTGGTAGTTTCTGTTGCCAACTAAACTGTCAAATTGTCATTAGATGTTAATGTCAAAGATCCAAGCGTGAAATAAGCATATACATAAGAGAAGATATGGATAACCGCCTATGATTGCAATGTGCAAATTGTTCGCCATAAAAGAGAGCTGCCCTATTCCTTAGTCCTCAACTCTGTATTTATGCGCAAACTCCCCAAGTAAATATTTACTTCTCTCCGCCTACTTTTAAGTAGCGCCAATTTCAAATTTCATAACCTATAACTCGAAAATAGGGTTAAAATTTTATTAAACCATTATTGTGTGCAATTACCATATGTAAACACAACCACGCACCATTCGGAAACTTCACCCAGACTTCTATTCGCTTCATGCAGGTTCATATTCACCACATTGGCCCCATTCCACCTGCCGACTCCTATCACTATTGTCTGCTACTGTGATGTCTTTAGATAAGTATACTAGGTGGCCGAGGCCCACCCTCTCAAGACCAATCGCCGCCGAAGCGTTTCTTACCTGTTGACTATAACGCTTCGATTCCCCTACTAGCATCTTCACCGATCAGCGACGACAATTTGAATCTTCCCTTTTTTGTGCCCTCAACATTGTTTTCGGCACACAAGGATTCGGGACCTGCAGTTAATGGCCTACTTGAATGATTTCACTGCCAACTCAAATCAGCGCTCACGTGCCACCCAGTGCGTTCTGGTTCAAGGTACTCCGTATCGTTCTGCTTGGAAACTGTAGCATTTTCACAGAGAACTTTCGAGCTTCCTCAGCGGAGTTTGTTTACGGTTACACCCTTCAACTTCGAAGGCAAACTTTGTAACGATTTAGAAACTTAAATTGCAATTGAAATAATATACCTATAGGGATTATATCTTGAATATAACATGAAATTGGATAAGTTCGCATCAGCTATAATATAAAGTGATACATTACAAATGTTCAAAGAAACACAATTAAATTAAAGACATTTACTGATTTTAAAATAAAATTAACATTGTCGAGTTGGAAATCTTTTAGGTGTTAAGTGACCCCCATATAACTTCGTGCCCCCATCATGCTTGCGTGCATCCAAATCAATGCAGTCATAGCGGTTAAAATGACGAGAACACAACCTTGTTTTTACATCATCGAATTCCGATAGTTCACATGCTTGCAGTCACCGATTCTTGTTGCTTTTTTCACTTGGGAATCTAATAACAAGTATGGCATAAATGAATTGATTGCAGATAATTGCATTGTAACTTACTTGTGCCATGAAACCGAAGAATCCACTTTCCCACAAGTACCTGCATTTCTTTATTTCTAAGTAATGAACACACTAAAATTGCCAAACATTAGGTATTCCTTTACAATTATTGTGTATCACTTACGTATACTGATTTATATAACTACGAAAGGCTTCTTTACTATTAAAATTAAACAAAAGTTCAATAACTCATAAACAAAACAAACAATTTAACCTCAATCCGTTATGTCAAACTGGAGTAAATGCTTGGTAAATAACACTACATAATAACAGGCAAGCGCATTAGCGCCTAGTTCCCAACTAATGACAGAAGTATATTTCCATCCACTAACGTTGGCGATAGGCGTGTCCACTCGTTTATCCATATACTTCTCTTATATATATGGAAATAAGTAGTTGGATTTATTTCTGTTGGCACTTGGCAGTGCTGGATATTTCTACTTTACAATAATTTGGTACCTACAGTTTCTTTTTATGTTTTTCTTCTGTGTGCTTATCTTCAAACACAGCGTCATCTACTACCTTATAATGAATGCAGTATAATTATTAGTACTAGCAAAGATAATACTACAGTACTAGTACTAGGCAAAGGTATATTTTGAGGTCGTGATGAAATATTTGTGGATGCCAATCATATTTTGGGGACGTATCCTAGCCGAGTCCCTCATTAGGCGCCTATTTAATTAGCTTCCAACGGCGCCATCACAGCGCGCCGCCTTTGCAACGTAACCACGTACCGGGTTATTCACTATATGTAAACCCCTCTCGTTCTCATTTTCTGGCAGGGATACAATACAAAAGTCGTTTTTCAAATTTGGTAGTATTTCCCAAAAGCGATCCAGAGCCCCCAAATTCAAAATGGGGCACCCTATATCGTATTCGCTCCCAGACAATTTGCACCAGGATAATTCGCACCCGGATAATTTGAACAATTCGCGCCCAGATAATTCGCTCCTGGAAAATTCCCTCTCAGAACATTCGGTGAGACCTATAGTAAAGTGTAAGCTGTACCTAGTATTATTTTATTTGGATACGAGCAAAATTCGTCATAGAAACATTTTACAAGGTGTAGTCAGTAGACCGTGATTCCATGGAACATTTGGAAGCTTGGTGCTGTATTAGGTACACTGTATGGACATTGTATAAGAAACTGTTTCGTATCAATAACCACTGTTACTGTAATCTGTATAGAAGAATACATTGTGTACCTAGTGTTAAAAAGGAACATCTACTTAATAATAATGTAATTTAATATTAAATACACTGGCATAGTATACCAATCTCACTGAACGTCAATACCTATACTTACACCGCAAAACCTTTGCGTATACGTCTATACGAAATACATACAGTATTAATACGAAAGTAACTTTCTGCCCGAAATAGGATTTGTAACAGTACGTACATTATAGGTACACGGTACACTACACCTAGGGAAGAAAGTGGCAATTTTTGTTCCGAGACTTTGTATCTCTTCGTTTAGATGTGCTACTGAGATAATTAGTTTAGTTTTAAATAAACGAACATAAGTTTGCTTCAGTGAAGTGATTCATGATGTTAAGATTGCTTTATGAAATAATTGATCACGTAAGTTAATTAGATTTGCTCAAAAAATCAAGAGAAGTCGAAAACAGTTAATTTTAGTTCAAGTAAGCGATTTTCCAGCATTAACTTAAAAGAAGAACCACCAGCTCCTATTTTGTTTGAGAGTATTTCGCATTGAGTTGAGACTAATAGCTCACCATGATGAAGTGTTTGGGAAGTGAAGTGTAATGAAATGAGTCTCTTCGTACATCACATCTAACATTTACATCATGTCACTATGTGAATCAATACAAGATCGTACAGACTTGCCAATTGCCAGTCGTATCTATTTCACTTCTGATGGCGGTGAGCTTGAGCTATAGTCTTTATTGTACCAATATTATGGCACACTTATAATAATAATAATATTTAATGTCCAACAGAAAAAAATACATTTTCCAATTACAGGACAACAACAGATTAATATGTATAGAGTACAAAATAATATAAAGAAAATGAAACGAAATTCTAACCTTATACAGTGTGTAACATAGTACGCAAAAATCCATGAATAACAATAAAAGAAAATAATTAAATAAACAGATATACCAAAACATGTAATGCAATCTAAGGGGTAAACAAAAATTATTAACTACTGAGCTTACTGTACTTATGAAACAGCAGGTTGTTGTCGTCTGCGTGTGGTGCGCTTGTAAACCGCGAAACGTGCACAGGAGATTCTTGCCAGAAATCCAGTTAAAAAATAAAAATATGACAATGGAATTACCAACGACGTCAGTAGCGCGCTATTCTCTGAGCGCGCTATGTAAAATTGCTTATTAAATGAATGGAAGTCGTTAAAAATTAAAATATTGCCATTCAATAAAGTAATAATACCGATACTATGTCGATAAATGTTAACTATGTGCTGTGGAATAAATTTATATACCCCCCTATCGTTTGTTAATTCATTTGTAAATGCAGGCCCGACAAGAGGGGGGGGGGGGGCAGCCGGGACTAATTCCCGGGGCCCGGTCGGTGCTGT